CAATATTATGGATTTTTTTCCGACAATTTGTCATACCTCATGTTTGTGTTATTCTTTCTGCTTTTTCTTCTTTCTTCTACATTTCTACTAAAGCTGGAGAGTCTCATGGTTCTGCAGGGGACTCCTTCTGTTTTATGATCTTCTTCATTTTGAATTTTCTGTTGCTTTCATGAGTTTAAGTACAACTCCTTAATTTGTCTCAGKGACCCAGTGTCAAAGCAAGTGTGTGGCAGTGAAGAGATCAGGTACAGCAACACCTGTGGATAATTTAAAATAATGAAATAGAATGAAAGCCATTCTGCTCCTCCTCTTCCTCCTCCTCCTCCTCCTTCTCCTCCTCCTCATCATCTGCTGAAAGTTTTGAGCAATATCAGATAAAACACTTCTCCCTAAAAAAATTCAAAAATGATACATAAGCTTTAGATTTGTACATTATAATTCATATCATTTGTATGAGATTCCCCTGAGAAACAGAGCCAAGAGAAGCCTTATTACAGAAATTGGCTCATTCAATTCTGGAGGCTGAGAAGTCCCATAATTTTGTGTCTGCAGGCCAGAGAACCAGGAAAGCCACAGTGATCTAACTAAGTCAAAAGCCTGAGAACCCCTCATGGGTGAGATAGAACCCTGTGGAGAAGAGGAGAAGAAGGATATCCCAGTTGAAATAAGAAACAAATGTATGGGCCCTCCCTCCTCTACTCCTCAGGCCCTCCATGGATTGTACTATGGCAGCCCATGCTGGTAAGGACAGGTAACTTTCTTCACTCTGCCAATTTACATGCTACACTCTTTCAGAAACAATGTTATATCAGAAATAATGTTTCATCTGCCATCTAGCTATTCTTTGGCCCAGTCAGCTTGACACAAATTTCACAACCACTCTATTTTAAAATATTTTTTTAAATTGTTCTAATTAATGAAAGACATTAGAATGTTTTATTCACTTTGATATACATAAATGAGGTATAATTTCTCATTTTTCTGATTATACATGTTGTAGAATCACATCAGTCATACAGTCCTATATGTACATAAGGTAATAATGTCTGTTATTTTCTACCATCCTTCCTATTCCCATGTCCCCTCTCCTTCCTTCATTTCCTTTTAATAACAATATATTCCAATGAAAATGGGAAATCCAGTGCTACTAATCTTGCTTTTAAATGATTTCTTTGGAATACTAGAAGTTAAAATGTGTTTATGTGTCCATAAGTTGTGGATTTAACAGTTGGATATCAGATGAGAAATGATGAAAACAGATAATCTCTTGTTCTTGTTAATAATGTGGTCACACATAAAATCACCATACAAAATTCCACAGCTTTAACAAGAAATGATTGGAAAATTTAATGAAAAAATCCACTAATAATTATGAAATACATAGAAATGAATCCAACAAGAAATGTGCAATACCTACACAAAGAGATATCCAAAACTTAACTAAAGGAAATAAAAGAACATTAGAATAAGTGGGGCAAAAATACTATATTCGTGGACAGGAAAGCATAGTGATATAAAGTTCTCAAATTCCTTTAGATTCATCTATTCGTTCAAAACCATCCAATTTCAACTCCTAACAGATTTTTTATAACAAAGTGATTCTGAAGTTCAGTGGAATTGGAAGCTATGAAAAATAGCAATAACATCTTTGAAAGAATATAATTATGAGGGATGTTCTGCTACCAGATATCAACTTATACTATAAAGCTACTGTAATAAAAACAGGATTTATTGGCATAGAAATAAAAAAAATCAATCAGTGGAACATAGTAAAGGCTCTGGAAAGAGACTTAGTACTATCTATGGAAATACACTGTTTGGTTAAGTGAGTACTTCAAATCAGTGGTAAAGGAAGTGAGTTGTATCTAACTTGTACCATTCTCTGTCCTAATCTCTGATCCACTCTCACCTTGTTTCACAGTTCCAGAAGGTTTTGACTGCCTTGTTCAGAATTCCTTATCAAAATTGTGTGCTGAGTATCTCTTGATTTCTGCCCTGGGACCTCTCTGACTCACAGAAGTCCACCTGACCCTGATACATGCCAGTGAATGGGAACAGAAGCTAATGGCTGAATGCTTCTCTCTTTTGAGACTTGCATGACTGGTTCTGAGCCACATGTTGTAAGCAACTCAGAATGTCCCACATTGGGTAACTAGTTGACTGTAACGGTCACACACTAGATAATGCTTGAATTGGCTTTCATTAACTTATCTGTTGATGTGTGTCCCTCCCTCCTGTTCTCTGAGAACACATTCTTAAAGAATATAGAACCTCTGTCCCAGGTTCTGCTTTTGGGAATAACCCAGACTAAGCTAGATGGATCGTACCATAAATGGTGTTCACAAATTGGCTGTGCAGGTGTGCAAAGATATCTCTACATATAAACAGAATTGACAAAACAAACAAACAAACAAAAAAAAATAAAAACAATGAAAAAATAAAGTATTAGAAAACACCATTTTCTTTAATTTCAACTTTCTTTTGTGTATTTTGCAGTCTTTGCTCTTTTTTTATCAATGTCATTTCATTTGTGGTTTCACTTCAATCAAAGTTCTTCATTTAAAATATATTAATCTTGTAAACTCAAGAACAAATAATTTTCCCTAGGTCTCATATATAAAACCATTCTATCATCCAGATACTTGCCAAAATGCCATGTTTTCTACAGCCTCTGTCTCATTTTCAGTGCTGTGACAAATTTATCCTTTTGTATACCTCATCTTTGTATTGCAGTTTGATCCTGGGTGGACAGTGGAGATAGATGCACATTTAATCTGCCATTTGAATCCATAATATTTTAAATTTTGCATTAGCTAAAGCTCTTGTTAACAGAATAGAGCTGTATTAAAAAAATCTAATTTCAGCATCTCCAACACGTACAATTTTATTAAACTGTGAAGATATCTATTCACTAATTAAGCTATTTTCAATTGTCTTGTTGAAACAAAAATGTCACCTGGTATTGCATTGTCTTTTACACAGAATTTCTAAGCTGGAAGGWCCTAAGAGATGACTGAGTCCCTAGAAGTCCAATGTATGGCTGGCTGATCAAATTAGCCTATGCATGCTTCTTGAATCTCCTTTGAGAATTTCCATTTTAAAAATATACAAATTAGAATATATGTTCTGGTAGGCTAATAGTTTGTAACTATCAACTTATATAGATCATTTAAAAATTGTTTGTTGGCACATAGAATTAAATAGTAAGAAATATTATTACATAGGTTATTTTGTTTTAATTGAATTTTTAATTGAATTTGATTGAATGTGTAATTGTATATGTCTATGCTAAGTTCAACATAATATAAGTTAATATGACCTACATTAAAATAGATAGCTAAGTGATTCATCTTTAAATATTTTATGTTCCTATTAATTAAAATCCTTCATTTAAAATATATCAACCTTATGACCTTGGTAGCAAAGGATTTTCCCCAGATTTCACATATAGACCTTTTATAGAGACCTCATTTTCTAATTCAGAAAAAATTTTAAATAAAAAAACTTGTTATTTTGCTTTATCCAGAGATATAGAAATGCCTTTCTTGTTTCTTTTTTTTCCTCTCTCTCTCTCTCTCTCTCTCTCTCTCTCTCTCTCTCTCTCTCTCTCTCGTACTAGGATGGAATTTTGTTAACAGGATGTTCTGATGCACACCTGTAATCCCAGTGGCATGAGAGGATGAAGCAGGAGTATCTTTAATTCAACATCAGCCTCTGCAATTAGAGAGTCCCTAAGTAATTTAGAAAGACACTGTCTGCAAATAAAATATTTTTTAAAAAAAGGTTTGGGTTATGGCTCAGTGGTAGAGTGCCCTTGGGTTCCATACCTTGTACCAAAAACAAACAAACAAGAAAAAAAAAACAATAGAAACAAACAAACAAACAAATAAACAAACAAAAAACCTAAAAAGAATGGAGTTTCATTAGATAGAAAAAGGGCACAGAAAAATTTAGGTTATATGATTTTTGAAAACCTTTTTAATTTTGATATTGCACATTTAAAAGAAGTTAAAAAGATGATTTGGAATGGTCCCTATTATTCCGTAAATAGTTTTCTATAATGATTGCACTTTATATAAGTATAATTCAATATCAAAATTAGGAAATTAGTATTGCTACATAGTGTATGCATACTTTTATGACATTTTATAATACATTCAAATTTTCATGACTACTTCAATCAACATACAAATTATTCCATTAGTATAAAGATTTTTCACTATTTTTCCTTATGTCTTCTTTCTTTCTCTATCAATCTTTCAAATCAGAAACCACTAATTTGTTTGCTATACTTAGAATTTTATCATTTTGAGCATGTTATTCACATGGAATCATGCAGTATGTGACCTTTTGAATATTTTTTTTCTCAATCAGCATAATACACTTGTGATGCATCCTAGTTGTTGTACATACCAATATTTACTTTTCTTTTTTATTGCTTGCAATGGTTTATCCTTTTTATCCYCTGGTGTAGATGCACTACAGCTTAATCACTCACCCATTGAAGGAGGTTTTGGTCATTGTACCTTTTGGCTATTGTAAATAAAGCTCCTGTAAACAATAATGTACAAATTTTATGGGTATAAATTTTCATTTCTCCAAGATAAACACCCAGRAATGAGAATGCAATGGTATATGTTAAGTGTACGTACAGTATTTATAGAAACTTCCTTGTTTTTCCATTTTACATACTTGTAAGAAAAGCAAGGGCGACTCAGTTTCTCAGAATTTTTGTCTGCATTTGGTATTGTCACTACTCTGATTTTAACTTTTCAGATAGGTGTGTTGGCATATCYGGTGGTATACTTTGCATTTCTGTGGTGGCTAATCATGTGAAATTTGTTTTTTATTTTCAATGTGTGTGAGTACTAATTTGCCACACATAGATTCTCTTCTAGGATATATTCTTTATATCTTTGTCCATGGTTTTTTTTTTTTTTTATCACGCAGGGGGAAGCTTTATTCATCTGCTGGGCTGGGGAGAGGCAGGCTGGGGAGGCTCACTTCAGTATGCTGTCATCTTGGGCTTCGGCCCGTTCTCTCTCGATCCGCTTCAGCTCATCCTGCCTCTTCTTCTTCTCCGCGGCTACCCTCCTCTCCTCTTCTGCCCGGGGTTTTAGGTAACTGTAACGCTTGGCTCTGCAGGCCACACCGAGGACCAGGGCAGAGTAGCGGCCGAGCTTGATGAGCGGAGAGACCTGGACCGGCGGCACCATCTTGTCCCTGACCTTCGCTCTTTGTCCATTTTGTRATTATATTTTTTGTTTTTTACTGTTGACTTTTATATGTTAAATATTCTAGGTGTGAGTCTTTTAAATAAACATGTGGTTGTTAATGTTTTCTCTCAATTTATGGCTTGTCATTTCATTCTTTTAACAGTGTTTTATGGAGCAAAGTAATTTAGTCTTGAGGATCTCCAGTTTACAAATGGTTCCTTTTATGCATAATACATTTATATCCAAAAGTTTTATGCTTGACATTTAGACCTAAGGTCTATTTAGTTTAACTTTGGTATAAGGTGTAAGGTGTAAGGTTTAGATTAGGATTCAGGTTTTTAGCTTTGAATACCCAACTTCTTTTTTTTTGTTGAAAAGACTAACTTACATTGATTCACTTTGCAATTTTGTAAAAATCATTTGTTTGTGCTCTTTCAACTATTTCTGGGTCCTCTATTAAGTTCTCTCAACTTGTGCTGCTTCTTCCTCTGCTAATTCCACATGGCATTGATTAGTACCACTAAATAACAGGTCTTGAAATTGGGTGGAAATAATTCTTCCCATTTTATTTTTCTTTTTCAAAATGGCTTTAGTTATATACTTCCTTTGCCTTTCACATAAATTTTAGAATAGTTATGAATATATCTTCAGAGAGATCTTGCTGTGATATTGATAGGCATTAACTACATGTTTATTTGGGAAGAAGTGACATCTTTCCCATAATTTTTAACATTCATGTCCTATATGTGTTTTGCTAGATTTACACTTTTTAAAAATTATAAAAATTTATTTTAAAAATTTTGGTTTCAACAAGTTCACTACTAGTAAATAGACAAAATTGACATTTATATGTTCATTTTGTAATCTGTAATACTGTACTTAGTTTTATGATGTTTTGCTTTCTTCTTCCCCCCACCCCACTTCTTTGGGATTTTTTACATTGCTAAAATCATCAGTGAAAGAGGCAATTTAATTTATTCTTTTCTGATCTGCAATATCTTTACTTCATTTACTGGCCTTATTGAACTCACTAAAATCTACATAGTACCTGATGGACAGCAATGATGATAGTGGACATCTTTGCCTTTTTCCTGATTATGGGGACAGAGAAATGTTCCCTGAATTACTGTTTTTGAAATCTTTAGGCATGAATCATTGTTGAATTATTTTATTGCTTTTTCTATGTTGACGGAGATGATCACATGCTTTCTTCTTTAGCCTAGTGTTGTGATACCTTATATTGATTGAATTTCAAGTGATGAGTCAACATTGTGTTTCTAGAACAAACCCCCGCATTGATTACGGTGTAATGTTCCCTGTATGTTATTGAATTTCATTTGCAAATATTTTAAACAATGTTTATTCCTATGTCAATGAGGGATGTTATTTGGAAGTCTTTTTAGTGTCTTTGGTTTTAGTATCAAGGAAATACTATATTCATAAAAGGAACTGGAAAATTACTCCCTCTTCTTATGATTTCTGGAAGTAATTGTGTAGAACAGACCTTGAAACTACTTTGAACATTTCACAAAAATCACCAGTGAAACCATCTGGGGATCAAGGCTATTTGATTGGGGATTTTTGAAATTAAATTTAATTTGTAATTATAGAGCAATCCAAATGAAAGACTTCATGTTGGGAATATTGTGGTAGTCTGTGCTGTAGGAGGGATTGTTCTATTGCATCCAAGTTGTCAAATTTATGTTTGTAGAATTGTTCACATTATTTTCTTATTATCCTTTTATTGTCCACATGGTCTGCAGTGATAAAATCTGTGTCATTTCAGAAATTGGTAATGTATTTCTTATCTGTTTGTCACTTTCTCTACAAGTTTGTCAATTTTATTGTCCTTTTTAAAGGAGCAGATTTCTCTTTTCTATGGTTTTCTGTTTTCAATTTCATTTATTTCTAATTTTTCTCTGTTATTTCCTTCCTCTGCTTACATTGGGTTTATTTAATTTTTATTTTCTAATTTTTGTAGTATGAGCTTAGATTATTTCAAGATATTTCTAATTTTCATGTGTAAATGTATACTGCTATAAATTTCAAAACCCCTTTCATTTCTTCCCCCCAATTTTTATGTTATATTTTCATCTTGTTTCAGTTTAGCATATTTTCAAGTTTCCCTTGAGACCTTTGAATTAGGAACTATTGAAAATGTTTTGCTTTCATGTGTTTGGAGATTTTGCTGTTACCTTTCTGTTAGTGATTTCTAGTTTAATTATAGTTGATTTAGAGAACTCTCTGAATGATTTCCATCATTTTAAATTTTGGCAGGTTTATTTTGTGGTTAGGGTATGGTTTGTCATGGCGTGGGTTAACTAAAGGGTTTATGACAATAGTTTTGTGTCCTGAGGGTATTTGGATGTGTCTTCTATTGTTAGGTGGAGTGTTTTACAGAGGTTGATAACATCACGTTGGTCAATGGGTAGTTGTTAATTCTTCTATATCCTTGTTGATTTAATGCCTGGTTATTTTTGTCAAGTTTTGAGCCAGAAGATTTGATGTTGCCAATCACAATTGTGGACTTAATTTCCCTCTTTTAATTTTATGTATTAGTTTTATATATCAGAATTAGTTTCACATACATTGAGCATTCTTCTTTGGTGCATGTGTATGTAGGATGGTTGTTTTCCTGGTGTACTATTTTATTATTTTATAATATCCCTGCATTCCTCGTAGTGTATTTGTTCATTATTTTTGTTATTTTGCTCTGGAGCTTATTTGATCTGATATTTACATAGACACTCCTGGTTTCTTTTGAATTTTTGCATGTTATTTATTTTCTGTCTTTTTGTCTTAACCTACCCATATTGCTTTATTTGAGGTGAAATTCTTATAGATAGCGTAAAGTTAGGTCATTTGACAAAAGCTGCCATTCTAATAACTTTCTGGTGATATTTATTTAGGCCATTTATAAATGTAATTATTGATATTTTGGTGCTTACATTTGGCAATTTATTGTTTTCTATTTTATATTCCCCCATTTTATTTTTTCTCTTCCTTTCTGAGGAGTATTTGAATTTTTTTTTTTAGAATTTCCTTTTGATTTTTCTGTAGTGTTTTCACATTCTGTCTCATCATTTTGTGGTTACTATAGGTATTGCAACTATACATACATAACATTACAGTCTACTGTGACTGTCACTGTTCAAATGAAGTTTTAAAACTTCATCTCACATTACCTTTCTGCATTTATAATGCAGTTGCCTCTAGTATTTTTTCTCCATGTATTGACAATCAGTTTACTCAGTTGCATTATATTTGTTTCCCCTATCAAACATCAATTTGTAAATGAAAGGAGACAAGGAAAGTTCATTGTATTTAATTATCTATTGGCTCTTCTATTCTTTGTTTTATTTTATTTATTTTTATTTTTTGCTTCCTGTTGTTCTGAGAATTTTCCTTTTATTATTTGTTTCTGATTAGAGAACTTTCTTTAGCTTCTCTTGCCAGGTAGATCTGCTGTTGACAAATCCCCTTTAATCTTATCTTTCCTTCATCTGAGAATGTTTTATTACTCCTTCATTCCTCAAGTTTATTTTGCTAGATGTAAAATCCGGAGTTGAAAGTTGATTTATTTCAGTACTTGAAAATATTTTTTATCATTTTCTCCTGATCCCCAGTTTTCTGATGAGAAATATGCTGTAATTTGAGTCGTCCATCCCCCAGTTAGTTAATGAATCATTTCCCTAGCTATTTTCAAGATTATTTATATTCTTTAGTTTTCAGCAATTCAACTATGAAGTAGCTTGCTGTGTATTTCTTCTGGTTTATTGTGATAGGGGTTCAATTGAATTCTCAATTTGTAAGTATTTGTTTTTGCCAAAGACAGGAAAACTTCATCCATTATTTACTTGAAGATGTTTTTTCAACCCATTCTCTTTTCTCCTGAGAATCCAATGATATAAATATCAGATCTTCTGTTATATATCTCAGTTTCCTAATGTTCAAGATTTTTCCTATACTTTTTTCCTCTGTTGCTCAGTTTGGAACATTTCTACTCTTCTCCCTTCAAGTTAACTAATTCTTTTCTGTGTCCTAAGTAAATTCATTGAGTCTTTATTTAATTATTGTATTTCTATGTTCTGAAATTTCTGTTTGGTTCTCCTTTCTTTTATGTGTTTTAAATAATTCAGAGAGTCCAATCTTTTATTTGTTCCAAGCATGTTTGTACTTGATGGTTAAGCCTTTTATGATGGACGTTTCAAAAACACCCTTTTTTCTTTTTTAAACAATAGGTTATCACTTTATTTCTTTTTGTGTGTGTGATTTTTTTGATTGGTTCTTTTTAACTGTATATGGCAGTAAAGTCCATTTTGATAAAATTATACACTCATGGAATATAACTTATTTTAGTTAGTGCCCATGTGTGGTGGATGTACATGATGGTGGGATTCACTGTGGCCTATTCACATATGTCCATAGGAAAGTTCTGTCAGATTCATCTTATTGTCTTTTCTATTTTTATATTCCTTTATTATCTTTTGTCTAATCTATTGAACTTCTGTTCTTCCCCTCCCCTCTTGGTTATTTTTGGTTAGCTTCCAAACATCAGAGAAAACATTCTTCCTTTGGCTTTTTGGGATTGGCTTATTTCACTTAAAATGATAGTCTCCAGATTCATTCATTTATTGACAAAAGTAAAAAAAAAWTATTTTTTAATGGCTGAGTACTATTCCATTCTGTGTGTGTGTGTGTACACACTCATATATGTAAGTGTGTATATGTGTGTGTATATATATATGTATATATATACATATATATATGGATGAAGAAATAGAGGTTTGTGTATATGTATATGTGTGTGTGTGTGTGTGTGT